TATATATATGAAAAAAATAATTTTTTTTGTATTGTACAGATAATTTACGAAACAGATCTAATAATATATTATACAAAATTCTAATGCCCTACTTTTTGCATGTTAGGCAATAAATGTGATTGCTTGTATTGTGCATGATTGATAGCAGAGTTGTTATGCATTTTATTAAAATAAGAATGATCATTTCGAAATATATACATCAACATCATTCATCCACTAAAACTACTTATTTTCGAGTAAAATGAAAAAATTAAGTTATTGCATTCAAAAAAAATTATTAATTATATGCATCAGTTTATATCCTTTTCATAAATATTAAAAAAGTTTCAATGAGACTTCTTTAGTTTAGTTTTGTACAGAAATTGAGATTATTATTACATTCTTATATTTTTTAATAACTTGTAGTATTCGATTATTAAATAATATTTATATCCTGCCTGTGTCAATCCTTATTCCCGTAGCACACCTGCTCTATACCCTACGTTTTGTTTATAATCCATTTCTATTATTCTTTGTATATTTTTAATTTTTCTGATCAGTTTGTAATTCTAATAATTTCTCCCAACAGGAGTCTATTGCAGTACATTGATGAGGAGTTGTTGCTAAGGTATTGGCAGGTAACCCTTTTCCCTTGCACCTTGCACCTTGCACTTATATCTCCTAATTCTGTGGATAATTCTTGTAAATTGCATTATTTATACAATTAATTTGTTATTTATTCGCTCACGTTTCTTTGATATCTTTTTTCTCTTATTGCAAATATTTAAATGCATGTTTTAAATTAACAGGTTTAATTTTGTTAATTTTTATTTGATTCTTTGAAATAATACATATATTTTCAAATTATCCCTTAAGTCGCATTTAAGTTAAATAGGAAAGCGTAATTTCTAAGTGATTTGAGAAAATTAATTCAATTAATTTAAAAAACGCAACCAAACTAAGAATATATGTTTATATATGTTTATATATAATATTTTAATATAACAACGACAAAATAAAGCTATATATAATAATTGATTAAATGATATAAGTAATATACAATAAAATTAAAACTATATAATAAGAAGAAAGCCCAACTAAATATCACAATTTAGTCAACATTCGCAGTGTGATCTACAAAAAAACATTAATATGCACAATTTTTAGATAGACGTAGAATGAAGTATGTTTCTTTTTTGTTACGTATTTGATGTTATTTGTTGCATGTTAGTTTTTCAACATTCTGGACACAAACTATTTTTACTTATCAGCCAAACTGGTGAAGGAAGTTTATATATATGTATATACGTATAATCTTATATACATATAACAAGATGTTTATTAATTAAATTTTCTATTATGTAGGATTGCTTATATATTTTGTTATAGAGGAAAGGCCTCTTTCAATATTCTATACTCTTTAATTTAATATAATGTTAATGTATTTATAATTATCACACTGGAAATTTAAAATGCAATTTACGAAAATTGATTGCAATTATGATTGTTACAGACTTTCTTAATATATTGTGGAAAAAAAATATTAAGATTATGTTTTAAATAGAAACATGTGTGTATGTGTCGACATCCATTCAATCGTCTCATAATAAATCCTTGTGTAAAATTGTTATACATTTAAAAAGCAGAAACAGTACTAATCATTTTAGCAAGTATTTTATTTATTTATGTATTTTATTTATTTATGCAGTATATTAAATATATTATTTATAAAATTCCGAAATATATAATCATATATTAAGTAATATCATACACAAAATTAGTTTACAATTTTATAGTATATGACCACAGTTTCACATGTGTGCAGGGGGAATGCAATGTCGATGGTTGGTGGGCATTGCGACCAGCTATATTCCCTGCAGTAAGTAAATAATGAATTACAGTAAACAATTTTATTTCCGATTTTTCGTTTGAAATATATTGTGAAAATATGATTTATTTTATTATGGATGACTGATTGAAAACATAGTCTAGAAACATGTACAAGATCACATTGTACTATGCAAATAATTATTATTTCATTAATATGTTTTATTTAAAATATTTAAATATCCTTTATCCTTTACTAAATGATTACTACAGGATGACTATTGGGATTATATTGAAAGTAAATCGTTATATTTATTCCTCCATTTCGATGATCATTTTTGATTAAGGTTTTCGAAACTCGTTAATTTTATGTTGACTTATTAATTACTTTGTACAATAGTTCAAATGAAATGGACGAGTCATCAATATCCAACTCAAATATCCAACTTTAATGAAAAAAAAACAATCATTGAAACAGAAGAAAAATAACGATTTACTTTTAACACAATATCATTGATCATCTTGTACAAATACGAAAATAAAGATATTTGATTCTATTATGCGGGGAATATTAATGGCTGACGTATTTGTTTCTGCGTATGATTTGTTTAACTAGCAGTATATGTTAATTTATTCCAAAACACCAAAATAAGCCTTATATGTATGTCCAATTTTATTAACATCTTAATAACGCGATTGCCTTGTGTACTAGCTAGAAATATGCAGCTTTACATCATACTTTTCCATCACATCTTATTCGATTTCTTGTTCATGCTTCATTCAAAATTATGTTGCCAGAAAGAATATAAAGTCTAAACTGTTTATTTATGATTTATAATATATGCATATAATATATTAACATTTATATCTTGTTTATTTTCTTGTTTATATATTATTCATTCTTTATTAACAACATTTACATTTCTTCTTTCGTAATCATTTAAAGAAAACGATTGTATATTAACATTTATTTAAATTTTCATTTTTAGAGCTACTCTTCCATTGGGGGAATCTTCGAACGATTGCGAAGTTCATTGTCCATATTACAATGTATCTGGTACGTATGTATTATTATGAATTGATGAAAAGGATGTCGTTATATAGTATAGTCTATAAATAGTCCCCTTCTGTATATCTACATGTATGCAAATAAAAAGTAGATTTATATATAGGGTCTCAAGCGAGTCCCAGACGTCATAGCTCTGTGGATGAATTGTATGGTCTCGTCAATAGTTCTCAGTCTTTAACAACTGTGAATGGACAACGTCAACGATCATTATCGGACAGCGGCCCTAGGGACGAACCCGCACAGTCAAACGGTATACATCATGAGCTTAACACTTAAATGATGTAAATATTCATGATAACATTGCCTAGATAGCTTCTTATTAAAAAAATTATTTTAAGAGATTATTAATAACTTTCTTTATTCAATCATTATTTATTCTAGTATCTTATGCTAATATAATCTTTTACAGGTGACAATGAGATATCGACTGATCGAGACAGGGAAAGTATGAGTCCCGATTTACTATCAGACACTCCACCTGTTCCTCCAAGAAGAAGAGATCGGAAGAGACATACACCACCAAGACCGATAAGTAATGGATTGCCTCCTACGCCGAAAGTGCACATGGGAGCGTGTTTTTCAAAGGTTAGTTTCTTCACACAAAGTGAAGATTTTATATTATATCTTCTCGCAAAAAGATTGTATTATAAATTATTATATATATATTATAATATTATATATATATTATAAATTATTTTGCTGTACATGAATATATCGCTGTACATGAATTATTTTTTTGTATTTTACATTATATTATAAACTATTGTTCGATTATATATTATTTGTTGTGTACTTTAACTATTTTTTCAGAAAATACTACACGTTACGAAAATATATTTACCACATTGTTCTTCGATAGCTGTTAATAAGATATTTGTTATTTTTATTAAACATTAATAGGTATTCAATGGTTGTCCACTGAGAATACATTGTACCGCAAGTTGGATTCATCCAGATACAAGGGATCAGCATCTGCTTATCGCAGCGGAGGAAGGAATTTATAATTTGAACTTGAATGAACTTCATGAAACTGCGATAGACCAACTGTATCCTAGACGTACTATCTGGATGTATGTTATCAAAGATGTTCTTATGTCTCTTTCCGGTAAGTAGATCTTGACTTTATTGATACTGTTGCATGATAGATTGATTGATATATTTTAAATATTATGAATAATGCGTATTATAGGAAAAACGCCTCAGTTGTATAGGCATGACTTATTAGCGATGTTAAGTAAACAGACTCATAGATTTTCATTGCATATGAATAAAATACCAGAGAGATTAGTCCCTAGAAAGTTCGCTTTAACTACAAAAGTACCCGACACCAAGGGATGCACCAAATGTTGCGTTGGAAGAAACCCATATAATGGGTGAGTGAAAGCAACATGTATATTTTTTTCTGAATACATACATATTATTCAATGAGAAAAAATTGTAAAGAAGTACATGTATTATTGATTTAAAAAAAAATTTGATATCTAATATTGAATATTTATTCTATTTTCTTGTTTATTAAGTAAAATTTGACAATAATATATTTTTTAACAGGTACAAATATCTGTGCGGTGCAATGCCGGCAGGTATATTCTTAATGCAATGGTACGATCCATTGAATAAGTTTATGCTTTTAAAACATTTTGACTGCGTTCTACCGTCGCCGCTAAATGTCTTTAAAATGGTTATCACGCCTGAAATGGAATATCCGATGGTATGTGTATCGGTTAAACAGCCATATCAGCAAAATAAATTAAAGCTGGACTTAATTAATATGAATTCGGGAGCGAGTTGGTTTCATAGTGACGAATTGGAAGATATGGACGGCTCAGGTATGCTTATGTTATATATATCTGACAATTCACTTGTTTACAATCTTTATCTTTATCTTTAAAATATCTGAAAATGATCTCTAATCCAGAAAATGTGTCATCTATAAAAATATTATTTCAGCAACTGTGATACCAAGACGAGAGAATTTGAACGTTATTAATGTTACGCAATTCGAAAAAGATGCAATACTTGTTTGTTACGATAGTGAGTACTATTCAAGGTATTTTATCTCGTATAATGGTATATTATTAAATACAACATTTTTATATTTATAGATGTAGTAAAGATGGTAACTTTACAAGGAAAACCCCGTATTAGCAAGAAACAGTTATCAGAGTTACAGTTTAATTTTCAAATCGAATCTATCAGTAAGTACAATATATTTCGTTTATTTGTATCTACTCTGTAGTCTTCATAAAATTAAATTAAATCGTATGATTTATATTTCCAGTTTGTCTACCTGATAGTGTATTGGCATTTCACAAACATGGTATGCAAGGTAGAAGTTTCAAGAATGGCGAAGTTACACAAGAGATTAGTGATCCGAGTAGAACTTACAGGCTACTAGGCTCAGATAAGTATGTATCTAATTAAATAAAAGCGGCGATTGTTAATCTAATAGAAATTTTGAAAAACAATTCAAGAGGATTAATAATGAAGTTTGCTATTCTTTTAAAATATCTGAAAGAACTACGTCGTATATTAGATTTTATATTTAATATTATATTGATACATATTCATAGAGGAGTTAAATATAATATGAAGAGAAAACAATTAACCTTACATCTTGTACAGGGTTGTGATGTTGGAGAGTCACTTAGTTCATAGTGGCACGTTGACTGAATCAGAAGGAGCAGACTTGTACATTCTCGCTGGACATGAAGCTAGCTATTGAGCATTGATCCTAAATAGCATCCATCCGCTGCATGGTTTCGCATGATATGTGATTGAACTACATGTAATATGAAATGACTACGAGAATGGTGAGATTAAAGTATGCGGAGGTGAAAATTTTACAATTAATTATCCTACGCGAATGTATGTGCATGACCAGCGTCTTAAGCCTTGTTGGCACGACCAGCAATTTAAACGCTGCGATAGTCGCTATCTTTCCGTATAGTCGAGATATCGTATAGACTGGTAATTACTCGCGATAACTTTTTTTTTATGAAAGAGCTAGGCAAGCACTTTCAATAGATATGAGTAAAGGTATGATCGGGAGGAATAGTGAACAAGAGGACAGAATTAAGAGAGAATATGCACGCGAAATTATTCTTATGCCTAATCAAATGAAGCTAATAGTTACATCGCTTTGAGAGATGTCGGATAAAGGCAATTTACTAATTTAATTACTAATTACTAATTTTCAGCTATATATATATGCATAAATTGCGCTCTTATAAATTGTTTAGGATTATGAAGAGAGATGTAAAATAATCTCAGGAATAGCCTTGTCTGAAAAAAATGTGAAAATCATAAAAGCTGTATTAAGTAAACAAAATAACTATAAGTCATATCGATGTATTAAAATTGATAACAATGATATTTTTCTTCAACACACACACATACACACACACACGCACATCTTTCCATAATCTCTACAACGATGCATAATAAATAAAAATAAACAGAACAATCTATTCTCGAGATTTTTATTTTACTTTAAATATGTTTTGATAATACATGATTTATAGGAGCGTATTTTATCGAAAATGTTTTCCATATTTTTCTCCATTTTAATATATAGTAAAATTAGCTAGCATACCGCCTTACTGCAAGAAAATCGTTGCATTACATCGCTTTAAACGCGCGAAAGTAACGAATTTCTTGTAGTGCTGTTACAGATTATACATTTCCAGTTTTATCTTTTTAGGACTATATCTTGTTTAATAGCTTTTTAGCCTTCGAGAACCGTTTAATCATAATAACGTATAATAGAATAGTTTAAAACGTGTTTGTATATTTAACGATTACAGGATTACTAGACGAGACGATATTTATATTCTTACACAAAGAGATCGCGTGTAGTTTTCGAAGGTTAAAGGATTATCACTGTATCCAGATGGGACATTTAAATACAATTCAACGAGCTAAATACGTCTTCGTTGTATAATGGAATTTTCATATAATTGAATTTTCACGTAATCTGTGTAATGTTAATCAAGGGATTTATATAGGGATGCACCGGATCAATTAATAATTAATAAATTATATTAACAATAACATTAACAATTAATAAATTACCAGATACTGGATATCGAACATCCGGACAGAATGTAACATCGAATATCCGAGAAGACAATTTCTTCAAGTCGGATCCAACATTTTCCGGATATTCGACGGATTCCGAGAAAGTGTCTTCTAAAAAAAAAGCCTATAGAGAAAAAGATAGTAATTTTACAACACTGTATGAGATGTTATAGAATATAGCATCATGAATATATATACGTATTTCTAAAACATTTGTATAAGAAAAAAATCAACAATTTAACAATATCAAATTTCAACCGGATACTAATGATATCCGACTATCTGATCGGATAATAAAAAAGTGTCCGATAATACCGGATACTGAATACTTCCCGGATATATAATTTAGTACGTTTGTTTCACTTTTACTGAATCACATTTCTATCAATTTCTTAACGAAAGTACTTTTTCGGTAAAATCTCGTGGTAATGTTATTTTTTACAATTTCTTCATCTTTTCGATATAAACTATGCTCTAATTTTATATATAAAAAATAAAATTGGAAATTTGATAAGAAATACAATAGTTTTGTTCAACTATATTAAAAACTATATTAAAAAATTCCACAAAAAGATGTTCGCTTTTCTTGAAGGGTTTCTAATAGAAGCAGGTTTCCGATAAAAAAAAGACTTGCTGAGAAAACAATCAATTTGATTTGTTAAAAACATGTCGTTATTTATCCAGAAATAGATCATAAAGAAAATAACAACGATATAGAAGGAAAGTAAATAATTAATGTATAGCGGCATAAAAACACTTTTAATTTCTTCAGAAATTTCTTATAGAAATTATATAATATCGTGTATTAATATGTATGCAGTACAAAATTCTCTCGTATTGTCGCATCCTCGAAAACATGTATATCAAATATTGTTAATGAGCTTCATTTTATTGGGCATGGGATTACCTCGAATATGTTATTTTTATTAAGACATTGTGTTCATCAGTGTCTCTAATTTCGAGCGATTGTAAATATGAAACACGGCCAATTTTACGTAACAACATCGATTATACGATTATCTTGAAAATATTCGTCTGCACGTTATTATATCAGATATCTGAATCGTTTTGCTTGCTGCGCGACGTTAATATGACGGCAACAACGTATTCATGATTGTTAACAACTTGATTTACAATTTATAATTGACTTACGTTATTTTATAAAACAAAATAACACAATTGTATAATCTTCCTCCGCATATCGCGGATTTATCATTCAGTTAATGCTCTGATGAAGCATCATTGTGATATATGCGACAAGAAGGGGGCACTTAAAATATACAAAAGCGATATGATCAAGTCTTTCTTTCACCTGATTTGGTATTAAAGAATCCAAATTGCAATTTTCATCGTTCGAGTAGCCTTTTCCATAAATCAGTCACATATAATTGTGCATCAAAGAACACAATATGGAATATGCAAATCTGTAGACACTCTTTATTTAGTAATTTTTTTACATTGATGACGACATCGAATACGAATCGTATATATCTGTGAAACGAAGAGCAAAATAACTTCCATATGATTAGTCTCGAGAAGAAACGCATTTTTCTTCGTCTTCTTTTATAATAAAATTTCTTTATTATATTCTGGAGACAAAATACATAGGAAGACAAAATATTTAGTTACAGGAGTTGTCTGTTTTATAAAACTTGACTTGACTGATTTTCAATCAAACATTTGATTTAATTTAACGGAATTTTATTTGCTTATAAATTCGAATGTAATATTCGAATATTTTTGAATATTTGTTACTGAAGTCGATTTATTTACATTGATTGATAGCATTGAAAATATTCCTTTTTTATTTGGAATATTTAACTAATACTATAATGAGTTATATTCACTAATCACACAACTAATTATTAATGAAGATTATTATTTTGTCGTATATACTGTGCATTCAATTATATCTCAATAACGCAAATAAATAACGCGTTTAATTTATAAAATAATTAATATACAAGTGTTTCGACAAAACTGAGCGTACAATAGTATATATTAAAATGAAATGATTCATTTATATTCGGTTGTAAGAAGATTAAGAGTTTTCGAAAATCAGCCTTGTGAGGTACATAAAAGTGACATAAAAAATATTTTATTTGCTTTTAGATATATGAGGCATATTTATTGTAAAAATATAATATTTGGCTTTTTCCACGAATTTCTGTCGTCAAGCTCTTGCAAGTTGATGTTCTTAATTTGCACCCTTTAAGCAAGATGTAAATTGAACTGTAAAGAATTATCAGAGTAAAATGTATAATTATCCGCGAAATGTTAAACTATTTTGATATTTTATATGGATATTTGCTCTATATAGAGAGAGTAGATTATTAGATAAAGAAAGTATTACACTATCGAAAAAATAAATTCAATATATTAGCGAAGTTGTGCGAGAATCGATTTGTTTCTGCTAAATCTCTTTATGGCAGAAATTTTAGACTTGTGTCGAAAGAAGCATACTTTATCTTGATATATTACTTTATATTTACGGAAGATTTGAATATTCGTAAATTTATATTCGAAGCGCATAACGGTTTTTTTTTTTTTTTTTTTTTTTTTAGAAAAATTTGAAAATATTTTCTCAATCATACTTGGCGAATGAAAAATTTTATTTTGTTGGCAGTTTATTAGCGCTTGAACGGTAATTCATTCCATTCAGTGAAAAATTACGTGAATACAATGCAGATACGAAAATACAGAAATATATTCGTAATATGTAATTATAAATTGCTCTTATGCAATCAAACACCAAGTCAACCGTTTAATCAAATTTTATGCTGACTACACATTATTCACATATATTATAGATATAATAGAACGTGCAATGTGTCTTCCCGTACGTATTTGCAAATAATACACCATATGCTAGACGTGTTAAATGTATTCGCAATATTAGCAACGTATTTGATAGTGTTCGTCGATTTATCTAACAGCAATTCAGCTTTGTTAATACTAAGAGAATTATTCGAACGAATTGTTGTATAAAGTATGAATCTTCTTTTTGCAACAATCTCTCATTTTCTATGATGTCTCATGATTTTCTAAAAGGAAGAGGAAGATTATAGGTATATGTCGATAAAAAAGATGAGTTATCATTTTACGCAAGATATAATTCAAATAAAAAAATATCTTGAAAGCAGTCTAAATACTACTAGAAAATTTAAAACTATCAAATGGCAGGATAGAATTGTTTTCTTGTATGAATGATTATTTCGCGTGATCTATACTTCTCTCCGAAAACACATATATTTATGAAATATTTTGATAATGATGATAAATAGTAACTGTTACCTGATGTGATTTTTTGTATTATTGTAAAGACAATAATTTTATTCGGAGCGTCGTACACAAATCACGAGATAAAAAAGATAGGCACATCGGCATAAAAATATTTAGGATTAAATTTTTGAATTTATAGAATGGATAAATTAGTGAAAACAAGAAAAAAGATAAAAGCAAAAAATTAAAAAATTTTAATCTCGTGTCACAGACCAAATATTAGAATTGTGAAAATTAGAGAAAGAAAGAGACACACACACACACACACACACACACACATACACACACACACACACACACACACACACACACACACACACACACACACACATATACATACACACAGTTTGTGTAGATTTCACATATCGGTATTTTGCTGGCGATCATACACATAAATTGAAATTTTATTTTCACAAGAGAATAAAGAACTTAGAAGATACGAGTGTAATACACACACACACACAC